ATTCTTCTGGGCTCTCGATATAAACAAAAAGTGGATCACAGATAAAATCCTAAAAAGTACAATAACAGGAGATCTAATAATCTGGTGGCATAAAATTAAAAAAGAGTTAGGCCTTCAAATTAAATTAAACGAACTACAGCCAATTTCGGTAACTGATGACAATTTAGAAAACATAAATCTAATTGTTTGGCAAAATTTGGGTATTAAGACAATCAAGGCTTTATTCTCAGACCATAAAGTGAAACCCTTCCCTCAGCTAAGACTCGAATTTGCCATACCGTCCAAAGACAAATTTAAATATCTAAGGGTTAAAGGATTCATCCTCACCCATGCCATCAAGAATAGGAAAGAAAAATGTAAAAAAATCCCTCCAACTATTAGAGCTAAATAACTGTAAAAATCTATTGGCAAAATGTGCGGATGTAATATGTAATATACCATCTGAGAAACGATGAGCCTGTAAGGCAGTAGGGAAATGGGAGACAGACTGAAATTTGCTAATTAAAGAGGAAGATTGGAAGTACTCCCTTAAAAACTATACAAACACATCCACTGCTTAAACTTGACAGATGTTCATTTTAACTTGTTGAATAGTTGGCATCTTACACCGAAGGTTCTTTTAAAGATCTCTCCGGATATTTCTATAAATTGTTGGAGATGTAATAGGGGCACTGGAAGCTTATTCCACATATGGTGATAGTGCGGAATGATTGCCAATTATTGCAAAAGGAATAAGAAGATTAATCTACTATGTTACAAAAATGAAACTCACACGTGAACCAGAATTAATCCTTTTAAACTTGAATTGGCCAAAATTAGAAAAGAAAGCCATAATAATCTTACATATTATAACTGCGGCCAAGTTGTTTATTGCACGTAACTGAAAAACAACTAATATTCCCAAGATCCAGGAGATAATCGAGCAAGTTGGAATGACAAATAAAAATGGAAGAGGGCATATTGATGACCAAATACAAAAGAACCAATGAAATCTAACTTTTGAACAGCTGGTTAGTAATATTGGAAACAAACAAAAAAAAAAAAAATTAGTCCAGTGGGCCTCCAAATTATAATATAAATAAAAATATAATATATATGTGTATTGTGGGAAACAAAAATACTGTGGCAAACAATAAGTGGAGGAAGGGAGGCGCTGATTCAATACTCCCTTTCCCCTGCTCTGGATTTTTTATTTATAAATAAAAAAAGAGAGGAGTTAATGAGGCTCGCACAAGTACCCCACAAGCTCAAATCTAGCAATGTCAGATTGATATCTGAGACTTACTTTAAACCCGGGGCAATCGTATATGGATACCTATATGGAAATGTAAACGGTGGGAGATGGGAGAGGGGGAGGAAAATGACAATAAGACTATATTAAGCCACCTTTTATGGCGGTCCACTTATCCTTTCTTCTCCGTTCTTCCCTTCTCTCGCTGTTTTTTAAATACATTTTTTCTAAGTACAGATAAAAACAGCATGCACGTGTCATGGGTGATTATAGATTTCCTACCTGTTCTATGTTAAATTTTGTATATATTGTGTATTAATATTGTTTTTGTATTTTATTGTACCCTAATGTATCAATGCAATGATTTGTGGACCCAGGACATATTTGAAAACGAGAGAAATCTCAATGCATCTTTCCTGGTAAAAATCTTTATAAATAAATAATATAATAGATAAGCGGACTTTCTCTCTCTCCGATATAAACGAGCAAATAGTGTAACAGGGGAAAGGCGATCACGGGAGGGTGGGATAGAGGGAGGTGGGAAGGGACAGAATTTATTTTCAGGGGTATTGAATAATAAAAGTAGAGATACAGGTAAATTTAGAAGAAATAGTTTTGCGTAATATGAAGGATTATGAATACGGAGACATCATTCGCATATAAGGGGGAGAAAAACGGGGGAAATGAAGAAATAAATGATTATAATGGTATCTATTCCAACCCAGTGAGTGGTATCGTCCCCAGACAAAATTAGAGACAATACCTATCTGATATAATAAAAATAAATAAATGTATTGACAAGAAATAGAGGTGAAACACACACTGTGCCCACTGCATTCCGCAGCTTGC